GCGGGGGAAAGCGAGTAGATTTTCCATTTGCAACAGTAAAAAAAGGAGAGTTTCCTACTTGAGGAAAAGAAACAAATAGTAATATTTCCTACAGAACTTTATGTTCAAGCCATGATTCTAAAGAATCACTTCATTGATATACCAAAAACAAAACGAGAATATTCAATTAAGGACATATTTTTGACAATTCCATGGAAAAACGGTGGATAAAATGGATTGTTCTGCACAAAACAAACAGTAGCAAAAGCGAAATAAAGGAAAAGGGTGAAGAGAAAATCTTCATATATTCTTCATATTCAAGATAAAGTGCCCTTGCACAACATCATTAGTAGTCTTCACCTTCCTCTTCGTCGTCTGCACCTTCAGCGCCAACTTCCTCGTAATCCTTCTCGAGGGCGGCAAGATCTTCACGAGCTTCTGAGAACTCACCTTCTTCCATGCCTTCACCGACATACCAGTGGACGAACGCCCTCTTGGAATACATGAGATCAAACTTGTGGTCGATGCGCGAGAAGACCTCAGCCACTGCTGTGTTGTTGCTGATCATGCAAACCGCTCGCTGCACCTTGGCAAGATCACCACCGGGTACGACCGTCGGAGGCTGGTAGTTTATGCCACACTTGAAGCCAGTTGGGCACCTGAGCATAATCCAACCACATAAATCTTGTCATCAAGAAATTACAAGTCAAAGAAGAAGAAAACCACCATCTAATAACACCATTTTCTGAGATGGATTAGCCCAACCGTTTTAGTAGTCAATCCTAAATTCAATTGTAGCAATAAAGAGGCATTTAACTAGTGCAGAAATATATCAAAGAGGCATGACTCTCAACTATCCAATATAATCATCGCCACTACAGCAAGTAAAAATTTACACAAGAAGGTATAATGTTAAAATAAATAAATAAATAAATAAAAATAAAGTTTCATCAGAAATGACATTTCATAAAGATGCACAGTTAAGATTTTGCAGCCAGTTTTACGTTTCCCTCTGTTTTGTTAACTTAACTAAAACACCATTTCCACTTACCAGTCAACAAACTGAACAGTCCTTTTCGTTTTGATAGTGCCAACAGCAGCATTGACATCCTTGGGAACAACATCTCCTCTGTACATCAAACAGCAGGCCATGTATTTCCCATGCCTGGGATCACATTTTGCCATCATGCTTGAAGGTTCAAACACGGCATTTGTGATCTCAGGGACTGATAGTTGTTCATGGTATGCTTTCTCAGCCGAGATGACGGGGGCATACGAGGAAAGCATGAAATGAATACGAGGATATGGCACGAGGTTCGTCTGGAACTCTGTGATGTCAACATTGATGGCTCCATCAAACCTCAGCGAGGTTGTTAAGGACGATATGATCTGGGATATCAAGCGGTTCAAGTTGGTGTATGTTGGCCTTTCAATGTCTAGGGACCTCCGGCAAATGTCGTAAATAGCTTCATTGTCCAACAGAACAGCCACATCTGTGTGTTCAAGAAGGGAATGTGTGGAGAGAACGCTGTTATAAGGCTCAACCACCGCAGTTGAAACCTGCAATCAATAGGATAATAGACTTTCATCCTTAAGTAACAAAACAGTAATGTAACAAAATTTATAGATGAAAATCAACTAAACTAGTTACAGTATAAAAAGTAATGCCGGCCCACCTCTTAACAACTTAAGTTAGGTGATAAACTAGGAATTTTTCAGACATGATGAGACTACCCATAGACAATGCAAGTACCTGGGGTGAAGGGTAGATGGTGAAGCCAAGCTTCGACTTCTTCCCGTAATCCACCGACAAGCGTTCTAGTAGCAAGGACCCCAAACCAGAGCCAGTGCCACCACCAACAGCACTGAACACCAAAAACCCTTGCAGTCCGGTGCAGTTATCAGCCAATTTCCTTACACGGTCCAGGCAGAGATCGACAATTTCCTTTCCAACTGCAAATTATAACCAGAAAGGGGGAAAAAATGGTTAAACCAATATAATATTGGAAAACATAAAAGTGCCTATAAACGCATTTTGGAAACAATATTTGTTATACCTGTGTAGTGCCCCCTCGCGAAATTGTTAGCAGCATCCTCCTTGCCAGAAATGAGCTGCTCGGGGTGGAAGAGTTGGCGGTATCCACCAGTTCTGACCTCGTCGATAACGGTAGGTTCCAAATCGACGAAAATGGCCCTAGGCACATGCTTGCCCGAGCCCGTCTCGCTGAAGAACGTGTTGAAAGCATCGTGTGAGACACCTACCGTAGTGTCACTGCATAGATGATAAAAACAAAATCATAAAATTCCATTAAGCACTAATAAAACATATTCTTATCAGTCGTTTTGTAAGATCCGAACCTATAAGCTTATGAAATTGGCAACAGAAGAGCAATATGATTTTTCTTTAAACCAAACACCACGGTTAACTACATGCTTTGTCCAACAAATATCTCCATCTCAATTTAGCAAAACAAACAGTACAATCCCACCCAAAAAAAGGGGAAAAAAAGAAGAAGAAAAGGGACCACCCAGTTCCTGAAAATTTTCTACTTTTTCTTGATCCTTGACGAGAATTCTTAAAGTTTTCTTCTAATCTCAACCAAAAGGCATAAAAGTCCCACAAACAACCTCTGAAAAGAAACGACTTAGATCCATGAACAATAAATTAATCAACATTCACCAAAATTCGGCAGACACACCCATTTTATCATTTCGTGAACACGTAGAGAAATGGAATGAAAATTTTCACCATTAATAAGGAAAACCGCAAATCTCCTCAAGTTTCAACCAGGGAAATCCCAAACAGCCAAAAAAGCAAGAATAAAGAAATTAAATAGTAGCTACTTCACGATCTTGGTTGGCCCATTAATCAAGATTCTCATCAATTAGTTGGATTGGAGCCATAAAAACATTTACAACAAGGAAAAAAAAAACAGAAACCCACCAAAGTTTCATCAAAATAAGACTAACCCAAGAATTAGATCTTAAAAAAAAGAAAGAAAAAGAAAACAGTACCTGGGCATCATCCCATCGGGCTGAATGCCATGCTCAAGGCAGTAAAGCTCCCAGCAAGAATTTCCCACCTGAATGCCAGCCTGCCCAATGTGAATGCTTATGATTTCTCTCATCTCTTTATTTTTCTACCTCTTCTTGGTCTGTTTGGTCAAAAGGAAAACCGAACAAGAAAATATCTCTCTATACGTCTCTGCCTTCCGATGGAAATGGAGAGATCCAAGTAGGGTTTGCGCGAGTCTAACTTTTGAGGGAAAAAATTGGGAAGAGAGAGAAAGAAATAAAGAGAGAGAGAGAGAGTGGGAATGAATAAATATTTGGAGTCCGACGAAGACACGAGACACGAGACAGCTCTCCTTTCCCAAATCGCCATTTGGCGCCAGCCTACACTTGGGTCCCAACCGCTCATTTTTCATTCTTTTCAAATTTTTTTGATAATTATTCTTTTCCCTTTTTGACCCTTTTCTATTTACTCTCTTGCCCTTCTTTGTTTTTCTTTATTTTTTATTTTTTATTTTTTTAGAAATCTACACAGGAGATTGACGTGGCAGGATTTGGAAAAATAAATTACTGGTAAGGTTTTGTTTCCAACCATTAGATATCATACATGTAACAAAAAATTATTTGCTTGTATGATATCTTACGGTAAAACAACACTTCTATCTATATATGTGGAGAAAAAGAAAACAGAGAATGTTTTAATAGGTTATAAAAACTATATCGTGGTATTAGAATGAGAAATATATTAGAATGACTATCCAATAAAGTGAAATTAACAAAATGACTTTTTTTATTTTTTATAAATAACGACCATCTAATCATTCTTTGTAAAAAGTGGTCATTTTACAAATAAAAATTTTTGAAAAGTTATTTTACTAATAAAACTTTTCTATTGAGTTATTTTTACAAAGAGCTCTATTAGAATGCAGTTTTTAACTGTTAGATTTTAATTTTTAAGTCTTATTAAATTTATATGCTTTTTTAATTCCATATGCCAATTGAAAATCCTAAGGTAAAACTTCTTAAAATGGGGGGATTCATCATAAAAGTTTATAAATAAAATACATCATATTTTGTATGTTCATATATTTCTCATCATAAGCATGTTGGGTGATTTTGATTAAAAATAACTTCATTTTAAAATAATGAAAAAGGCGTCTTTTCAAAAAAAAAATTTGTTTTAAGGGAACATTTTGACAATAATAATAAAGAAATTAAGAATTATATGAGTCGTGTGTAAAAAATATATTCCTAAACCATTTAAATTTTCATTAGATCTTACCATTTTGTGTACACTTTTTTAATCTCATTAATTCTAATTAAATCTAACCTTAAAAACACATGCGGCATTTGTGAGGTGTTGGCCTCTAAGAAGTAATTAGCTAGTTATTTTGAAGTTTTAACATTTTGATTTTTTTCTTTTTGTGACCTCACGTGTAAAGTATTTCTTTAAAGGTTTGTAAAAAAGAATCATGCTTCATACATATCTGCAATTGAATCACTGCCCTTTTTAATTTTTTTTTTTTGAAGTTTTAAAAAAGTTTCAAGGATATTTCAAATAGATATTTTTTTTGTCATTTTCTACCATAATATGAAAGTGAGGTTGAATAAAAAAATAAAGCATAAATATGCACTTTAATATTCGAATGTGAACTTACAAGATAACCAGATATTTTAACGTTGTTTTGGACCATTCTATGAAAGTGAGGTTTTTTTTTTTTTTTTTTTTTCTAAAAAAGGAAGAAAGCACAAATAAGAACTTTGATATTTCAGAGAACTTAATACCTCGTTCATTTTATTTATTCAAGTTTAGAATTTGAGTTTTATTATAGTAAAAAAACTCTTAAAAACAGTCACATCTAACTTTTTTGTTACAGTAAAAAGCTTTCATATAAAATCACATCTCAACTTAAATTAAAAATTTGAATAAGTGAACTTAATAGAGGCCTCATTCACTTCGCGGATTCAAGTTTTCAATTCGAGCTGAGATGTGACATTTTCTGAGTGCTTTTTATTGTAGTAAAAAAAGTTAGAGGTGATATTTTCTGAAAACTTTTTACTGTAGAAACTTAAAATTTAAAACTTAAATCAGTAAAATGAATGATGTCTAAATAAAACAACGTGATATTTCAAAGTCATTTTTGGAAAAGGAATTGGTTGCTTTTATATATTTAGAAAAAATTATCTGTGTTTTCTTGAAAGGCAGGGCTAATATAGTAAATTCATAAATTTGGTGGACGAAGCTGGCCATGTGCGGCAGGCCAAGTGTACTTTCAAGGTAGATTAGCTGTTACTGCTTGCTCAGCTCACAAATGCTTCGTTGGTTTTTGATGCTCTTTTTGTTTTTGTTTCCAGACCAATTATTTTTTGGGTACTAATTATTTCTTTGTCGTTTCTTACTTATTGTTAAGTACAAGCATGTTTCGTTCTTAGATTTTAAAAAAAAAAAAAATCAAGCGTAAAGTTAAGAATTTAAGTTGTGTAAAAAATTTAATAGGACGTTTGGTTAAAGGATTTAAATTATGTGATTTGAATTATTTTTAATTTACGTGAATTTTTTATGAGAAAAAATACTGTAGTGATCTTGAATCATGATTCGAATCAAGAAACGAATCATTTTACCAAACATTAATTTTTTATAAAAGAAAATATTATAACAATAAAATTTAAATTGTAATTTAAATTATAAAAAGAACAACTAAATTTTTATAAAACAAAACACTATAATAAAAAGATTTAAATTATAATTTGAATTCGTAAAATAAAAGAGCCAATTTTCTTTTTAATTCTTTTTTTCATATTATTATTGTAATTTGAATTCGTAAAATAAAAGAGCCAATTTTCTTTTTAATTCTTTTTTTCATATTATTATTTCTGAACTCTACTGTTATGGCAATTTCAATCTCAAATTAAAAAAGTTTGACAACTCACTATTAAATTTAACAATTTATAGTGAGAACACCCAATTGGTAACAAGCATAATTTTTGCGTCGTGACTATCACAGAGAGCATATGGGTGTTCATTTTCACCTATTTTTCAAGACATGAAATGTCATTTCTATTCTCTTATTTAATTAGTTAAAATTCAAATTTTTTAAAATGTTTTCTAAAGAATTTTTAAAAAGATCTTTTAAGATACTTATTTTTTTAATCATCTAAACTATACAAAAAGAAAAAACTATAAAAAAAAAAAAATCAGATATGAGGCTTGCGAAATAGAAAGCCTAACCATTAAAATATGAGGCTTGGAAGCGTGGAAATATGAATTAAATCTTAGAAAATAGTAGAAAATAAGCCAATATGAAAAGTTTAAGAAAGTATATAGGCCAATTTTTAGTTATAAAAATTAATAGGTCATAACTTATCAAGTTATGGTTCATAACCAGATAAGTTATAGACAAATTTGTCAAGTTATGGTTCATAGCCAGACAAGTTATGGATAAAAATCGTAAATAACTTGTCAAGTTATGGTTCATAACCAGACAAGTTATGAACGAAAACATTTATTTAGCCTATTTATTAACTTATATAAATTATTTGTCTATTAATTTTAATTCATCTCAAATCTTGGTCTATTTCTCTCTTTCTCCCTTAAATCTTTTCTAATATCAATTAAGGTATTCTGGTTTCTCCTCTTTAAAGAAATAAAAAGTATAGCCGTTAAAAGGTTGAAGGAAGAAAAACTAATATCTCTCAATAATAAGGGCCCTTAACTGATTTTAATTTTTAATTCGAGTTGAAATGCGACTTTATGTGAGAATTTTTTACTGTAGTAAAAAATTTAAATGTGATTGTTTCTGAGAGTTTTTTATTATTGATCTAAGGAAAAGAGAGTGGCGTCAAAGTCTAAAGGTTGAGAAGGCTTTTGTTGTGAGAAAGAACGAAGGACTCAATAGAGTTTAATAGCCAAATAAATTTATTTTTTGTATGAAAATAAAAATGAAAACGTTTTCAATCTCAGACTTAAATTATTTTTGAAAATATATTTAGTAGTTTTATCAAGAGATTGTTTTCAGTATAAAAAATCCATTAATGTCTCTCTCTTTTTGCTCGAGAAAGAAAAAAACAGAAACAAAAAATTAAAAGTGGTTTTTCATTTCTCTCTTATTTTACACTAAATTAAAAAATCATTTTCATTTCCATTTTTTGTCTTTAATTATGTCAAACGTCTTTTATCTCCCGTTTTTATTTTTTCTTTCTCAAAAAACGTGTAAAATACAAATAAAAATAACTCCAAACACAACAATTATTTCTTCAATCATTACCGGTTCCCCGACCATCACTGCAAATTAAGTCATATTTCATCCTTACTTGCTACCCTTTTTAAACATAACTTTAAGTACTCTAACACACTTCCTCATGCTCACTATTACACTCACGTATATACAAGCTTTACACTTTGATTTGGATTTTTGTATTTTACCGACTTTACAACCTTCATATCTCTACATAATGACTCGTTCGGTTCACTAATTCGAGTTTTTAATTCGAATTGAGATGTGATGTTGTGTTAGAGCTTTTTACTATAGTAAAAAAATTAGATGTGACTATTTCTGAGAGCTTTTTACTGTAGCAAAACTCAAATTCTAAACTCGAATCTGTAAAAAAAACGGGGCCTACTTTGCAATGGACTCAAAATAGTACAACCAACCTTACATTGGATTTTTACAACCTTACATTTACTTTAAACGGTCCAAAATTCCTCACCGAATGAGTCAGGCGAATAGTTCCAGTCAAAGACTGAGCCTATATATATATATATATATTGATGAAAAAAGGATTCACAATAATGTAGAAAACAAACTTACCGTTATAGTGACACATATCTTCCACCATTATAGGGACGCGAATAACGCTCGAAAACTGTCGATAACCGCTGTCCACTTTTTGTGCACGATTAAGAATACTCTGTGATGGACAGAGTACATATATATATATATGAGTGCATTCCCTTCCAGTTGGTTCCTAAACCTTTCAATCTCATTTAATAAAATACACCATCTATTTGAGATTGAGTGAGGATTAGAAGCACTAAATCCGAGTTAAATATCTGTCGAGTGTAAGAAATTGTCAATGGCCGGAGGTATGCTTTCAATTCGATATTTCGATTCTATTCCGCAATATTAATCTGAATGCTATTGAGTTTGTTAGAAGCATGTTTAGATCGTTTAAGATTTAGTTTACAAATAATGCTCCATATTACCCTTGGTGAATGGAGGTCATTATCAAAAACTTCTTTTATTAATCATTCACATAGTTAAAGTTTAGATCTTTAAATGTGGCACAA